CTCGGCAGCGAGGGTCTCCGTGGGTGGTTTTGGGGCAGGTGGTTGGTTTTTTTCAGTGAAGTACTTGAGGTCTGTAGAGATTTCGGAAATTAAGGAAATTCCTGTTTACAGAAAGATTCAACTTTATTTTCATGGGGGATATAAAAAGTGTGTTTCCTAATACACCTTACTGAACTGTATAGCAATGGATAAGCTTTTCAAACTTAAAGAAAAAAAAAAAAGCCAGAATCATACCCTTTTGAAAAGATGTGCGTGTACATATATATATTTAAAGCATAATATGGGAATGTATATTTTCTTGGTATTGATAAAGAACTTTTTTTAAAATACCGTCTTTCTCTAGAGCTTTAATTTGCCATTGAGAGTTAAGACAGCTATGTATGTGGGTGCTCTTGCACTTACACGGCTTCGGTTTTAAAATCGAACCCTGGGGAGAAATGATTTTTGTTGTAAATCTTAAGCAGGATGAAATGCATTGCTGACTCGGTCGTATGAAAATAACTTTTCTAAACTATACGATCCATATTTCTCGTGCCAGTGCAAATTTGGGGCATTGATAGTTATTTATTGAAACTTGAACACTTTTGGACGTTGCCTAGACCTTATTTTTCTAGATAACATGTTAGTAGTGAAAACGGTTACTTTGGCAAGAAAAGCTTTACTTTTTTTTCCTTCACTGTGTACATTCCAGTAGTGTTTGCTCTTTACGTAGTATAGTAACAATTCAGTGCTATACAGAAAAGGGCTCAGATTTGGGGTGGGTCAGCTATAAAGGTGGTAATTCCATTGTGTTCTGTTTGAATAAACTGCAGAAATGTTACGGAGAAGTAGATTTATTTTTCAGTAGAACTCTGTGTATCTTGCTTCTTGGTCTACTTCGTTCTAAAGAAACTTTCTGCAATACTCTAGAGGCAGGAAGAGTCAGCGCTAGAACATGAAATGTTTTTCTGGTTGGGAAGAATTGGCGTGATTTATTTCTTTGTCAAGATTTTACTAGTAGAAGAGCATAGCGAAGGAACTATTTCCTCTGATTTGACATAATCCTCAATAAGTTTCTGAAAGCTTTAGATCCCTTGCTCGGTACTACTGCCTACCTTGCTTCTGCTGCACCTGTGTATTTTGAGCATAGCCGCTAACGCAGCGCTGTCGAGCCCTGTGGCGTGGTGCAGTGGGAAGGGTCTGTCGGAGTGTGGCGGTCACCCCACCAGAAGCCCCCTCGGCGTGGGGGCCGCGGGCCGGGCCTGCTGCTGGGGGAGGGCAGGGCTTCTCCTGAGCAGATCCAGCTGCAGAGCGGGGCCTGCTCCCCTCTTTGAAACTGTGCTAACAACTCTGCTTGAACTC